GAAAGGGTGGAGGCTGTACGTGAGCTGACAAGCTTGAGCGAAGCTGGCAATGAGCCCACGTAGACAGAAACCTAAGAGGAGAATTGTTGCTCAAAGACGTTCACAAAGGCTTTTACCCACTGTATCAGCTACTTCCAGCATAATTAATAATGTTGAGCAAAATCCAGCCACAAATGCTCAGTGGAATCCAATGAAAAGTATTTATTGCTCACACACCTGGGGTCAGTTGGGATCAGTTAGGTGACCCTGCTGATTTTGGCCGGAATCACTCATATGTCTAGGGGTCAAGCCTGGGTCTGGCTGGGACAGCTCAGCTCCACAGGGCTCTCATCCTCCTCCCAGGAGGCCACCACAAAGTTACATAACAAAAGGCGTGAATACAGGGAGGGGTGAAGGATCAGAGCCATCCTGGCAGTCTCCCACACCCCCCGTTATCTTGGACACAAATTAATAGCATAAACTATTAATTTTATGCTATTAATGGCAGGGCAGAAGGGAAGGCGGTCACTATGCTGGAGCTCTGAACTCTGCCACTGATAGGCACTGACAGCAGCTGAGTCACTTAACCTCTCAGAGCCTCAGTTTTCTCATCTGTAAAATAGGCACCTCCCCTCCATTCCCTCCCTCCTTCCCTTTGGGAGCCAACAAAATAACAGAGGCTTGTGATTAGAGGCATCATTACTACTACTGACCTCACACCTGGACCCCTATTAGGAAATCCTCCCTCTCCCTTTTATTCCTAAGGAGAGGGAGCTTCATTCCCAGCAGGCCGTGGGGGTCAGTCCTCTGAAGCTCACTCTCATCAGGTGTGGGAGCATCTATCTGCAAAGCTTCACAAGGTGATGGGCTGGGGAGCAGGTAATGACAGAGAATAAACACAGAGCATCTTCCCAAAGCACTGATTTCCTATGAAGATTGTGTGGGAAGAAAAAACTGCACATTAAAATAAACCCAGCTGTGCTATGAAATAAGCTGCAAAATTCAGATCAAGCTTTCAAGTTGAAGAATGAGACTCCGGAGACATTTTGCTCTTGTGGTAACTGCTACATGCTAGACCCCACATCATTAATCTACTGAAAACTGGAGCCTGCAAACCAAATCTATTTTGTAAATAAAGCTTTACTGGAAAACAGCTATGCCTATCGGGCTACTTTTGCACTGTAACAGCAAGGTTGAGTAGTTGCAACAGAGACCATATGGCCCACAATCCTAAAATATTTATTATCTGGTCCTTTACAGAAACAGTTTGCCAACCCCGATCTCCTAGGATTCTTTGATGGAAAAGTTTGAAAAATTCTGTGCTATTCTGATAGCTGAGGCCTACAGGTCTAAGGCTTGAAGAGTGAACATTTTATTGCACATTTATGATTCTCAGTGTTTTAAGTGAATAAACCATTGCTTAACTCTAACAACAATCCTAAGAGATAGATGGGATTGTTACTGTTGCATTTGGTAGGTGAAGAAATTGAGTTAAAGAGATGAAACTTGTCCTAGCCCAGGTCATCTCAAATTTTAACGTGCAGAAGAATCACCTCGGTATCTTGTTAAACTGCAGATGCTGAATCAGTAGGCCTGGGTGGGAGAGTCTGCATTTCTTTTATATTTATATATACACACACATATATATATATTTGACTGCCCTGGGTCTTAGTTGCAGCATACGGGATCTTCGTTGCGGCATGCGGGTTCTTAGTTGTGGCATGTGGGATCTAGTCCCCTGACCAGGGATGGAACCCAGGCCCACTGGGAGCACAGAGTCTTAACAACTGGACCACCAGGGAAGTCCTGAGTCTGCATTTCTTTTTTTTTTTTTTTAAGATTTTTTTTTGATGTGGACCATTTTTAAAGTCTTTATTGAATTTGTTACAATACTGCTTCTGTTTTATGTTTTTTGGTCGCAAGTCATGTGGGATCTTAGCTCCCCAACCAGGGATCAAACCCACAGCCCCTGCATTGGAAGGCGAAGTCTTAGCCACTGGACCTCCAGGGAAGTCCCCCCGAGTCTCCATTTCTAACCAGATCCTAAACTAGGCTGATCCAGACCACTCTGTGAGTAGCGAAGATCCAGACCAGAGACACTACCGGGAGGCACAGGGGTGCAAACCCAAGCCTCTAACCACTGAGCATATGGCGTCTCAGAGGAACTCTTATGAATAAGTCATAAGCCCCGTGAGAAATTCACATCTGCATCTCCCTGGCCCCGCTGAGACCTCAAAGACCCAGCCGAGGTTAGAACTTTACAGATTGCCTTGTTGTCCCACAACAGATCAATGGGGGAGTGAGCCCCAGAGGGGGAAGTGGACTGTAAAACCCACTCTCTCTCCCAGCCTCCATTCCCCCTCCAGGAGCCTCCATTGTTATTTGGTGCTGTCCCTCCCCCGCACCTCCATCAGGAGCCTGGAGCCCAGACCTAGAGGTGGGACTTGTGCTCCAGGCCTGGCCAATCCACCCCAGCAGCCCCTCCTCCACCACAACAATTGGTTCAGGGATGGGCATGTGACCTGAGGCGGATCCAATCAGAGAGAGTTGCAGGGCTTCTGCGGGAACTACCGGGAAGCTCTCACTCATCCCCTGATGTGTTTCAGGATGAGGGATGAGAGGCTGGAACAGCAAAACGGGGGAAAGAGGAAGAGGGGATGGTTTTGCTCTCCAGGGTACATTCGGCGATGTGTAGAGATATTTCACAACTTAAGGGAGGAGGGAAGGGACTACTGGCATCTAGTGGGCGGGGACCGGGATTGCTGCTAAATACCCTACAGTGCACAGGAGGGCCCTCATAGCAAAGAACCATCACCCAAAAGGTCAATAGTGCCATGGTTGAGAAACCCTGGGTCCGAGATTCTGTAGCCCTCTTGTCCCCATAGGACAACCTGGAGCTTCTATGGGGCCACTTAATGGAGCCTGAGAGTGGATTCTCACAGTGGGAAGCAGAGCCAGAAGATGGAGAGAAGCCGAGTCCTAGGGGCATCGCCAGAGCCCTGGATCCAGCTGTGCCTGAAGTGAGCCTTGCTCCTGGACTTTTCCATCTTGTGTCCCAATGAATGACTCTTTGGCTTAAGCCTGTTGGATGAAGTTTTCTGTCACTTTCAAACGCTCCCAGCAATGTGGTGAAATAGGCCAGGCATCCGTTCCTCTCACTGTTTCATTCATGGGCAGCCCCAGGCCAGAGGACCTGTGTGATCACACGGCAAGCCCATGGCATGCACAAAACTGGTATTTGTCCAGTGACCTCATACAGGGAAAATCTTATTTTTATAGTAAAACAAACGCAGATACGTGGAACAGAATGGCATAGTCACATTAATTCAAGATAAAATAGGAAACTTCAGAAATAGTTTGTTGTTGTAGTGACTGCTACAGATTATAAACAAGAGCCCAAACTGTTAAAGGAGTTAGGGAATTCAGTTGGGACTAGAACCCAGATATTCTGACGTCTAGTGCAACGGGATTCTGTACCGCAGCCTCCTTCACCTTCCTCATCATCCTTGGGGGATTACAAAATTTTCTCACCCATACAATGATCCTGCAATCAGGCCTGGATTGTTACTTAAGAAACTTGGGCCCAGGAGAGAAGTGACTTGTCCCTCCAAGCTAGAATGCTCAGATCTGACTCAGTGAGGGCTTGAACTCAGATCTTAACAGATGGAGTCCACTTTCTGCTCTGTTTTTCTAGCTGGGCAAAAGATAGAATCTGTGGTCACAGAGCAGGACTGTCTCGCCAGAGCCTGGCCTGCCTGGCACCGTGCTCAGACCACAAGCAATAAGAGTGAAGGTTTAAGGCAGAGCGAGAACATCCATCAGGAACCCTCGCTCATTTTCTCCACCCTTCCCCTGCCCCCCGCCAAAAACAAGGGGCTTATTGCAGTGCTAGGAGGACATTCGGAAGGCCACCTTCAGCGGCATCAAGTAAAGGCGCTTGGAAGTCAGACCAACCTATGTTAGAATCCCCATTCTGCCGCTTAGAAGCTGTGTGATCTTGGGCAAGTCACTTTACCTCTCTGAACCTCAGCTTCCTCCCTTGAAATATGGGACCCTTGTGCAAGGTGTTGTAAGGCTTAGATTAGGTAAGACATGTGAGTGCATCTGATGTATATGTTTGGTGAGTGTCAGCCTCCCTTTCTAAGTAGATCCTGCTCTGACCCCACTTGGCAGATGAAGTTACTGGAGAATTACACACTGTTGTCGTCTTAGGAGGAGACGGTAGATACAGCCCTCCTCGGCCAGCACTGCCTCCTCCCTGTTGCTGGGGCTGCCAAACCCTACCTGTGTGGGTCTGTTTTGTGCTTCTCCTAGGTAAGCCCGTTCACGTTTTTCAAATCCTCACCACATTGCTGCAAAACAGACTAGGCACACGTTTCTCTGCCTGGTTCACAGAAGGGCAGGCCCCAGGCCTAGAGACTTCCATGGCTTGTCCAGGCTCACACAGCAAGCCATAGCATGGCCTAGAGCAGGCGTCCTCAACCTCGGCACCATTGACGTTCAGGGTGGGATAATTCCTTGTTGTGACGGGCTGCCGGGGGTCTTATAGGATGTGTAACAGCATCTCTAGACTCTCCCCACTACATACCAGTAATACCCCATCCCCAGCCAAAAATGTCTCTGGACATTGCCAAATGTCCCCTTGGTAGGCAATACCAGCTCCATTGAGAACCACTGGCCTAGAATGCTGTTTGCTCAGCACACCAACCTAATCTTTTCTATGAAAACACAACTCCAAGGACCAACAACAATATTTTTCTTCTTCCCCTAACACATGACATAATCTCTTAAAAGCAGATAGAACCCATATTTCAATATCCGCCTTTGGCATTTTTTCAAAGTAGTGCCAGGGTGACAGGTGGGGGAAATGGAAAAAAATATTTGGACACAGGCCATTTTTCCACTGGGCTTGGAAAAAATCCCCATCTTGCATATTCCTAGTGTATCTCTGGCCGATAAGTTCACTCATAAAACCAGGGCCTTAGCCAGGGCCACACATATCGGACTCCTGCAGACACACCATGATCAGGGCCCTACTGCTGTCTACATTGGTGGCTGGAGGTAAGTCCTGTCACCCAGAGGCACTTTTTCAGTCTCCTGGTGGGGCTGGGGATGGGACCTCCCTGAACCCACTGGACTCAGTCCTGTGGTTATAAGAAAGCTGGAGTGAATTTCCAAATAAGTGGAGCGAAGGGCAGGACTCTACAACCTGTGGAGATCCTTCCAGAACAGGGGTTCTCTATTTGGGATTTGGGAATTCAGCAAGTGTAGGTTACATCGTTTGGGTCATTGCTTCCTAGGCTCACAACCCTTTCTCTTTTTACAGCTCTCAGCTGTGGGCTCCCCACTTACCTGCCCAACCTGCCCAGGGTGGTTGGAGGTGAAGATGTGAGAGCCAACGGCTGTCCCTGGCAGGGGAGTCCCCCCACCCCTCCACTTCTGCCCCCCTGCCCTTACCTACCTCACATCACCCCTTTGCCCTCCACCACGGGGTCTACTGCACTGGCAAAGATGAGGATTGTTCAGGACTCAGAGGGCAGGATGGGAAAATTCGCCAATAAAAAATACGTTTCTGGGGGCTTCCCTGGTGGCGCAGTGGTTGAGAGTCCGCCTGCCGATGCAGGGGACACGGG